TCGCGAAGGTGCGCGGCGACTGTGCGGCGGCCGACCGGGCGGACCTCGTAGGTGCCACCGCGAAGAAGGGCGTCGACGCCGCCGCGTTGGGCCTTGACGACGAGACCGCGCGGCACCGGATGCAGATGATGCAGAACACGGAGAAGGTGAAGCAGGCCTCCAACACGCTCACCAAGGCAGAGCGGCTGCTGACGGAGACTGAGGAAACAGGCACGGAGGCGCTCCAAAACTTGCGCACGCAGACCGAAACGCTGCATCGCATTAATGCCACGACAATAAGTGTGAACGAGGAGATTTCAGAGGCGCGCAAGATCCTCACGCGCATGCATAGCACAATGGTGAAGCACAAGATAATGCTGATCGGCATAATCATCGTCCTGCTGCTCCTCATATTTGTGGCCGTGTATGTCTCTGTCTCGAAGCATGCGAGTCAGCAGCCGGTACAGCCCTCGCAGAAACCGTCCGAGGCACCGCCGCTGCCGACGTGGAACCCGCAATCAGGCGGCGGCATTCCCAACGATTGAATTGCGCCAGCTTTGCCGCCTTGCCCCAGCACACCTACCTGCTTGTATGTGAACACGTGCGTTTCTCTCTCTTCCTTTGTGTGTGCGTGTGAGAGAGATTTTGTGTGCATCCTTGTCTGCAAATGCTCCTGTATGCGAAGCGAAGTGAGTTCTGGAGGTTTTTCTTTCTTTTTTTTTCCGCTTTCCTAGGACGCTTTTATCTTTGCCCCTGTCGGGTACAGAAGGGTTGCCATTGATCCCCGAGCCGTTCCACCTCCATACACACACACACGCACGCACGCACGCATAGAACGATAGAACGAAGTCCACACGATGCACGGACGCACAGAGGAATCGGCTCGGCTCACAGCTAGACGCGTGCGGTTCACAGAGCCGGCATCGGTGTCGCAAAAGTCCTATGAGAAGCTCCTACAGGCGCTGCTACACGAGAGAGACGCAATCAGCAGTGCGTATAACTCGCTCTTGGCGCTGGTGCGCCAAGACCCCGGCACGAATGGTGAGAAGGCGCACGCTGCTGCAGTGGTGTGCGGCCTGGCCGGGCTGCTTCGCTATATGCTGGAGCGCCTGCACCACCATACAGCAGAGGCGGCGGTGGGCTTCGCACAAGAGAGCGGGGCGTTTGCGAGTCCGCAGTGCGCGGAGGCCGCGGTTGCGCTGCGCGAGGCCTTAGCGATGGGGCTGCGTGCACAGAGCGCACGGAAGAGCGGTACGCCGCATCGCGAAGCCGCCTTGGAAGAGGGGAGTGAGAAGAAGAAGATCACTCGCCCAAGACGACGGCACGTTTTCGCCGTCTCGTCGCGCTACTCGGGGGAGGCACAGCGCGAGATTGTGGAGGTCGTGACGTGTCGCCTCGGCCGGACGACGGTGGTGCTGCGGCAGTGCGATGACAGCAACGAAGAGAGCGTTGCTTTGCAGTTCGGTTGCCACGTTCTCGTGGCCCCGTCGCCCCCTACCAGCCCCCCTGCTATTGTGTACCTGACAAAGGAGAGGCTAATGCAGTACGTACAATCCACTTTCGGTGATGAGGCAAAGTGGAATACGTCGCAGCCACAAGCGGAACATGACAATGAAAGCGATGTGGATGAAGAACTCGACGAGATGTTGTGTGCGCTCGACTTCACGGCACGTAGCAGCCTTCTGCTGACGGAGACCTCGCGGCTGACGAGCCCAATGAGCGCGGCTACTATCCTTCCTAAGGATTCTCCGCGCAACCCACTCCCCGCCAACCCCACGCGAGCGCCAACAGACAGCCGAAGCGATATGTCACTCGTATGGAGCGCGATGGATGAGAATAGATTGCCGTACGGTGGCCAGCGGAAGCGACCACGCGAAGAGCAGGAGTCGCAGGTCATTCAGTATCGGCACGATTCACCACCACAGCTCTCAGTGGGTCTGGCCGAAGACGCTGCGAAGGAAGTTGCACTGGACCCGGCACAGTGGTGCTTTCAAATCAGCATGTCGCTTAAGGATTCAAAGAGTGAAATACTGAAAGCCATTCGTCGACTTGGTGGTCGTGTAGACAACAGCAGTTCGTACAACCCAGAAACAACCCACCTGGTTGTCGCCGAAGGATTGGCGGAACGCACAGAGAAGTATTTGAGTTGCTGCGCCGCCCTCAAATATATTGTGACGCCTCGCTACATATATGATTCTGTTAGACGGGGAAGGTGGCTCATCGGCCGTCTGTATGAGTACGACAAAAATCCCTTGCGACACCGCTTAAGGGAACCAATGACGTTGCCGTTCTGTGGGTGGTGTGTAGTGTTGTTTACATCAGCGCCGCAGGTGGACTCTGGCATCGTTTCTGTGCTACAGGCAGGGGGCTGCACCAATATTACATCATATGTATTTGATAATCTGTGCTCTCCCCAAATTGATCCTGCATGCGTAGATGAAGCGTCGCATTTGTTGGTGGAGTGCAGGGACATGTCGCCCGCGGGACGTTTTCTTCCTCCGCCGTGGTTCCCCCCAGAATTGAGACAACCTGACACCCGTTTCTTTTCCCTGGAGCTGCTGTACCACTTGCTGTGCTACTCCGCATCTCCCCTGTTTGACGACAAGGGACGTCTTTTAGAGGAGCAGCTGGTACCATCAACGTGCCGATTAGAATTACCTTGAATTGTGCGTCTGGTGAGACCAAGAAGGGGGGCCCTGCCGCCTTCCAGCGGGGCAAATGAGCCACGCTGATCCTTATGTGAGGACTTCGCCGCAGCCAAGTACCCGTGGAATGAGGTGCATATTGCCTCTTCCCATGGTATACATGCTATTTCACATCTTGCCTGACTACCGACCTGTCCTCTTCGTTGTTTTTCACCCCTTTTTCGCTGTGCTTGTGGGCTATACCTTTATTTTTTTTTTTTTACGTTCGAGTAGATCGGCAGCTGCTGGTAAATAATAATCAGTTGAACCACTGATCTACGGGGCGCATTTACAAACAAATATAACTGAGACTATTGTGGTGCCGCTGGATACAGGAGGGTTGTTCCTATCACAACAGTCGAGTAACGGCCGCAGTGTTACATCACGACAGCAAGATGTGGAAAGTGTTGTCGTAGTTATAGGGTTTCAGCTGAGCGTCATGCAGGCATTGCTGCTGCTGCTGTTTCCTTCTTAAACAGAGCAATGGCTATGGCGTGAGTGTCCATGGAGAGAAGTCTGGGCTTTGTTTTCGCGGCAACGCTGCTGCTGACCCCTTACTTTCTTTGGAAGTCATCTCTCTCTACGCCGTGTGTGCATTTTTCATGGATGGTTTCATTCGCTGATCACTCGTTTGTTCTCTCTATTTTATCTACACATACACACAATTGTACACCCTGTGCATAGACAAGCACTTCAACACACCGATAAGAACTCATTTACATATACATCAGTGTAACGCAATAATGGGCTGCTTCAGCTGCTCCAAACTACTCTATATCGCCATCCTAGTGCTCATCACGGCGTATTTGGGGTATGTGATTGCGTTTGTTCCAGTCTACCGATACGTGGCGATCATCGGCATTCTGCTCCTTATTGCCTTCAAGTTTTCTGTGTGGCGTTTTCTTCCCTCCGAGAAGGCCTACGTGCGGGAGAAGGCGAAAGCCATCACAGACAAGCGACTCGCCTTTGTTGCACCTGCAGCAACCGTGTAGGCGCGAAGTTGCGCTATTCGAAGGCCCCTTGATCCGCTATAAATAATTTGAGCAGAAACTCTCCACATATTGCTTTTGGCTTTTGATGCTCATTCAGCCGATGAGGTGCGGCATTTCGTCTTGGTTTCCCAACCCGCTGGCTCTGTACTGAAGTGTGAGGAAGCTGTGGGATTTGCTGTATGTTTCCTGTTCTTGCCGTCCTCCTGTTTTCAGTTTGCGGCCAAGTTTGCTTATTCATTCATTTCGTTTTCTCACTTGTGCTGTGCTGTGTGGAAGGGTCACGCTCAAACTGACCCATACACGCACACACACACACACACACACAC